CCCAGAGGACCCACATGATGGCTCACAACTATCTATAACTCCAGCTCCGGGGATCTGATACCCTCTTCTGGTCTGCAAAAGCACTAGGTATGAATGTGGTGCATAGACATACATGCTGGCAAAACACCATACACACAAAATTAAATAAAAAATTAAAATATGTGTGACTTTAGAAAAGGTTTATTGATTTTATTTTCTGTATAGTTGTTTCACCTGCATGAACATCTTTGCACTATGTGTGTGTCTAGTGGAGGCCAAAAGAGGGCAGATGCCCAGGCTGGGAGTTACAGATGTTTGTGAGATTTCACGTGGGTATTAGGACTCAAACCTGGGTCCTTTGCAAGAAAAACAAGTGCTCTTAAGGGCTGAACCATCTCTCCAGCCCCCTCTAGCATGCTTTTCAATTGATGGTGGTAACAAAACTTCATTCACCTTATTTATCTCAGTGTCTGCAATGCCTGGAACAGTGTCCGAGCTGTAGAAAATACTTTAATTATTCATAGATACAGTTATAAAGATGATATCCCATTTGTTTGTTTGTTTGTTTGTTTGTTTTTTGAGTCGAGGTCTCCCGGTGTAGCCCTGGTTATCCTTGAACTCACTTACTATGTGTATTAGACTGGCCTCAAACTCACAGAGATCTTTTTGCCTGCATGTATGTCTGTGCACTGGTTGCATTCAGTGTCCATGATAAAACACCATACATATAAAATAATAAAATAAACATAAAAATTTTTTAAAAAGTTAAAACACACAAAACTAGATAACTTCAGGTAAATACTGTAAGCAAAATGGTGCCTTAAGAGAGGTTGCTTGGGCTGGAGAGATGGCTCAGAGGTTAAGAGTACTGGCTGCTCTTCCAGAGGTCCTGAGTTCAATTCCCAGCAACCACATGGTGGCTCACAACCATCTGTAGTTAGATCTGGTGCCCTCTTCTGGTCTGTCTGCATGCAGGTAGAACATCTGTATACATAATAAATAAATCTTGAGAGAGAGAGAGAGAGAGAGAGAGAGAGAGAGAGAGAGAGAGAGAGAGAGAGAGATTGCTTATGAGTGGTCCATTCTCCATACCAGCCTCCACTGTGCACTCTGAGAAGACATTTGAGTTGCAGAGTATATAGAGTTTTAATGACATCCTCATACAAACCCTGTGATTTAAGTATTGTTAGCCCTGCTTTACAGGAGAGGAAACCGGAAGGTTCAACACATTTAAAAGCTAGTGGAAGGTCTTGTGGCTTGGCACCTGGCAAGTTTGACTTTAGACTTAAGTTGCCCTGATTAAACTTCAGAAATTTACACAGTATGGGATATGCACCATGTTAGACATTTTTTGCACCTTAACTCTTGGTTCTCTTAACAACCCTGTGGCTTGACTTGACTCTCCTTGATTTATAAACACAGAAGTGCGTGCTGAGTTTGATTCCTTACCTTAGTCACCATTCCTCTGCCAGAAGGGCTTCAACCTCAGGCTGAGTCAGAAGTCCTGCATCCCCCTCCCTTTTCACCAGGGCTAAAGCGTGAGTGTGAGACATTTGGGGACTCAACAGTGGTTTGGTTTTCCTACCCTGGGACTGGGGAGCAAACTCAGGGGCTCCTGCATGCACACATACTCTGAAGCGCTGCTCTGAAACTCACTGGGGCTCCCTGCCAAGTTCTGAGTGGTGACACACTGGGTGACTGAGAGGTGACAGGTGCTCCTTCTAATTCGGTAACATGCACTTGCCTTCTGACAGGAAAAGAAGTTTCTGAGGCTCCTTTCCCCACTTCTCACTCATCTCTTTCCCTTCTTCCCAGGTGCCTCCATCCACTGTGGAGTACCTCCAGAAACAAGGCATTGATGTGCGGGTCCTCCAGACAGAGCAGGCAGTGAAGGAGTATAATGCCTTGGTTGCCCAAGGGGTAAGAGTAGGAGGTGTCTTCCATTCCACCTGCTGATGGAGTCACAGAGAATAAAGCACTAAGCAACAACGCCTTGACTGTCTCTCTTACCATTCTCCACAGCAGCCTCCGCTGTGCATGTTGAACTTGGTTGTACGTTCTTGGGGGAGACTGACAGAAGACTAATGCAGAGTTCCTGCCCTTCAGGTTGCTTAGATCAGTGAGAGAGCTAGTTACTGATGTTTAGTAGTGGAGTATGTAGTAGATTGAAAGTGTAAGAAACTTCATACAAAAACAAAGGTTCAAAAAGTTCAGAGCATTAAAGATCTCACCACAGTTGATGCTTTGGAACCTTTACCCATTAATCCAACTTTTTTGTTTGGCTTGGGGTGTGGTGGATTTGAGATGGGATCTCTCTACACAATCCTGGCTATGTAGAGTCCTGGAACTTGCTTTGTAGACCGGGCTGGCCTCAGGCTCACAGAAATCTGCTGGCCTCTGCCTTGTGAGTTCTGAGATTAAAGGCATGTACCACCATGCCCAACCCAACTACTTTTAAAGTACTTTATATGCCAGACACTGCTGTAGGCTCCAGAGAAATAGCAAAAATGATTTGTTTTCATGATGCTTATATGCTAGGGCAGAAAGTAAGTCAACAGATAAAGTCTGTATATAAAATCAGTTTTGAAAAGTGAGATGAGTGATGGATGCTATTTCATATATGTGCTCATGGAAGATCTTTGTGCAGATGACATCAACAAAACATGGGAACACTTGAGTGACAGCGGAAATATGCCCATAGCTAGCTTTGAGGCAGGTTCTAGACTCAGCCAGACAGCTCTCAGATCCCCTGAATATAAAATGCTGGGGATGGAATAGATGTCTGTTTCAGGGTTTGTTTGTTTTTTTAAAGACTTATTTATTTATTTATTATGTATACAGCATATATGACTGCAGGCCAGAAGAGGGTACCATATCTCATTACAGATGGTTGGGAGCCACCATGTGGTTGCTGGGAATTGAACTCAGGACCTCTGGAAGAGCAGTCAGTGCTCTTAACCTCTGAGCCATCTCTCCAGCCAATGTATCAGGGTTTCTATTGCTGTGATAACACACCATGATCAAAAGCAACTTGAGGAGGAAGGGTTTATATATATTTCAGCTTACAGCTTGTAGTTCATCATCTAGGGAAGTCAGGGTAGGAACTCAAGGCAGGAACCTGGAGACAGGAGCTGATGCAGAGGCCATGGAGGAGAGCTGCTTACTGGCTTGCTCCCCATTCTTGGTTAGTCTGCTTCTTTACATCATCCAGGCCCATCTGCCCAGGGATGGCAGCACTCACAGAGAGCTGAGCCCTTCAACATCAATCATTAATCAAGAAAATGTCCTATAGACTTGCTTATAGGTCAATCCTATGGAGGCATTTCTCCATTAAAATTTCTTCTTCCTGCATTTAATCCCAGTACTCAGGAGTCAGAGGCAAGCAGATCTCTGAGTTCGAGGCCTGCCTGGTCTAAGGAGTAGGTTCCAGGACAGCCAGGGATACACAGAGAAACTGTCTCAAAAAACAAAACAAAACAAAAAACCCCAAAACAATTCCTTCTTCCCAGATGACCTTAGCTTGGGTCAAGTTGACATAAAAACCAGCCAGCACAATGTCCACAGGCTCAGATAGTTTTTTTTCTCTATTATTTAATAGAAGAGGTGGCCTTTGTGAAACCTCAGACTATTTTGAGAGAACTTTAAACCATCAGCGCCCTTGTTTTTGTTTCTTTCTTATTTTTAAAAATTGTATTTTATATGTGTGGATGTTTTGTCTGTATGTATGTTTGTGTACCATGTGCATGAGAGGCCAGAAGAGGGTGTTGGATCCTATGGAACTGGAGTTACAGATGGTGTGAGCCACCATGTGAGTGCTGGGAATTGAACTCAGGTCCCTGGAAGAGTAGTTAGTGCTGTTAGCCTCTGAGCCATCTCTCTAGCCCCTGGTTTTTCCCTTTTAAAGAACTCTTTAGAGCTGAGTATGGTGGTACATAGCTGTAACCTGAGCATTTCAGAGGCAGAGGCAGGAGGTTTGAGCTTGAAGCTAAGTTGGGCTACATAGCAAGACCCTGTTTCAAAGTAACAGCACAGCGGGAAAATGGTTGTGAGTGTAGGCCTTGTTGTCAATTAGCCTTGGTTTTGAAGCACAGTTCTCTGTGCGTCATTGGGAGGACCTTTATTTATAATCTCTCAGGCTCACTGTTTCTGTCTGTCAGAACCTGGTATCAATGTAGGTATTATATGATAACGTGCAGTAACTCTTCTCTCATTGTCTGACATGTGTAAAGAATTCAATAATCCAAAAGCATCATTGTCATCATCATTCCATCAGTGGAGCCAAGATAAACCAACCAGTTTCATTTTATGATTGTTACATAGCATCTTCTTACTTTACAGATTTATAGGATGTTGGAGCCCAATGGAACTGTCTCACTTACTCAGCAATTGCCTCCCATGCTTACTTACTGAAAATCTACTACTAAATTTCTTAGGATCTGCCAGGCAGTGGTATCACATGTCTTTAATCCCAGCACTCAGGAGGCAGAGGCAGGTGGATCTCTGTGAGTTCAAGGGCAGCCTGGTCTACAGAGCGAGTTCCAGGACAGAGAAACTGTCTCAAAAAAAAAAAAAA